TTAACGAAATATTAACAAAATATTAACAAAGTATTTTTTATTTTTTTAATAATTTTTAATATATATTAACGAATTATAAGTTTTAGAATATTTTATTAATATATAGTTTAAGAAATAGAACGAAACATATTTTTTTTGTGTTTGGATTTTTTTTAATTTTTCTATTTTTTTATTTTTAGTGTTATTATAATTATTTTTATTTTTTGCTGATGTGTCTTTATATTTATTTAGTTTTGGATTTTTTATTTTATTTTTATTTATCTATGTGTAGTTGTGTATTTGGAGATAATGATATCACATCACGCCACGTATATAACACGTAAGAAACTAAAGAAAGTTATAATGTCACGTCACTACCTCATTCGGCCATGCCAGCTTTTTTATCGAGGTGAGGTGATTAATATATCTTTTACGACCAAATCACCAACTACATGTTTCTTTTCCGCGAGGAACAACAAAATATCTATTTTGTTGACAATGCTCAACTTGGTGTATCATTTTTGAAATTTTGTCAGCATTCACCATTATCATGTATTCACCATTTGCATATGCACGACTTATATTGTGGGTAGTGAATAATTTTAGATTACCTTCCAAATGTTTAGGACTAATTACATCAATAATTAATCTTTATTAAATATTTTTATGGTATCAAATGATTTGGGTGTGCTTGTCCTAAAAAAACTTATATGTCAATATATATGTTAAGTATTATTTTTTTACGTCTCCAAAATAAATCCTATACCTAAATTGGATTATTTACTTTTTTTTTTGCGATTTCTTAGTTTATTTAAACATATTGAGAATCAATTCAAAATCTACACTATTATTTACTTTTCTCAATGATTATTTGCTTTTCTTTTGTGATTCAGAAATATATTCTATCGCCATCTACAATGCATTTAAAAATCAAATTTAATTATGAGAATCATTAGTTATCAAGTCATATAAAATACTCATTCTATATTAAATTGATAATTAATTATCATGAATGATTTAATAAACTAAAAAGACAAACATACTAATTATATATTTGTTGATACCATTTCCAAAAGAAGCATTTACATTTATTATTAGTAACCTCAATTCCATCAACTCCCTCTTTATATATATATATATAGATTCTAACAGTTAGATCGTCATGTGTAAGAATATTGGTTTGACATTGTCCGACAAACCCGTAGTGTTTCTAGAAGATTTCTTGTTAAGCAAGCAAAATAAATTAAAGGGAAGTTTTTCTATTTATTTACTTGTGATTTAATTAAGTTTCTAATATTTATTATTAATAATATATGATATATATTTATTGTAATGTATTATTATGGAATTCTAAATCTTTTAGGGGAAGGATTACCTAATATATATCTTATATATTCACTTACCATATATGTCACTTTCATTAAGGAGCTTGATTCATGTCATAATCAGTTTTTTCTCTCTTGTAAGAAAATGAATAAGTGACAAGGACTATGAAAGGATGAGATATTCACACAAGAAGAATTCTGGACGTTCTCTAGAAGATCTAAGGAGGATTTGAAGATTCACCACAAGATCTTTGAAGATTTGAAAGATCGGCTATTTTTGAAAAGTCATGTTCTTACCCAATTCTGGGAACCAAGATTTCTATTGGAAGCTCAATTCTAAAGATCTTCAAATCACATACACAAATTCCACATCAAGGAAACTTACTTTACATGAAGGATTTCGTCCAAATCAGAAAACAATCAATTGAGAAGGAAATTGACTCCTAAAAGAAAAAGAAGAACTTGTGAAGACTCCTTACCTTAAGAAGATTGTATATAAGCCTACTCAAACAATCAATTGAAGACAAGAGAGCTGCTGCAAATCAAGTTCATCATTCATCAGCTTCAATTGAGTGTTTGAGAGATTTCTATTATTTTTATTTTTAATCGGTCCAGTTTTTCAGCATTCTTACATTGCTGAAGAGCTGAATTCGTTTTGTTTCTTTTCTTTTTACAAACACTTTTTAGGTGCTTAGGGATTAAGTACTGGGTTTTGCTCGAGGGATTCGAGTGTGTAAAGTCCACGGGACGTGGCCAGGGAAGTAGTTGATAGTATCGAGTATAATGTTAGCTAGACTATGAGGGAGTCCGAGTCGAGTAAGTCCAAGCTGTATTTTGTGGGACGCAAAACAGATTTATCAATGAAAGAACTCTGAGGGGTAGTGGGACGCTCTCCGACGAAATACTTTTTATATCGCTTCGCTTTTAAGTTTTATTTTCTTGTGTTGCAACACAGTTTAGTAATCCAGAATTTCTGTGTTCTAACACAAGCTGCGTACTCTATACTCCCTCTCCCTCGTTTCAATTGGCACCAAAGCAGTGTTCCTGTTCTAATCACAAGATAAAGATCCGAGGTCTGTTGGATTTGGAGCCATGAACCACGACGTAATATCAATCTCGCGCCCCCCCATATCTCAACGAATCAAATTACTCACATCGAAACAATC